CACACACACATACGCATAAATGCCGAATCATATGTACATATATATATATATGTAAGATTGGTTTTTATGACATACTTGTCACTTTATAAAACTTGTCCTTGGACTTTGTATTACTGTTGCTGCTCTTACTGCTTGTTCTTCGTTGTTGTTTGTGTTACAGTAAAACATTTAAGATTATGTTTTACAGCCTTATACGTATATGCAAATGAGCATACATACATACATATAAATGTGCGCATACAAATGCATAGATGTAAGCTTGAAGGCTTTGAGAAAAAATCATATATATATATATATATATATATATAACAGAAGTTTTCTATTTATCAGAAAAATTGTTAGCTGGTTTAAGTCTTCACTTGATTTTCTAGTAATCTAGTATTGACAGATAGAAGTTTACAATACAATCTCCTTCTCCTCTTAAATTGACTGGGAACTGCATAAATTAATTAACTAAAATCTTCTTTTGCACGAACAAATCAATTCTATATCTTGGACTTGCATTACATGTTGAAGTGCGAGTGTAATATACTTGAGTCCAAAGAACGTTAAGAAGGAGTCCCTAAGCATTGTTTAACGTTGTTAGGTTACGAGAGCCATCTTCAAGCTAAAGCTTAAAGAAATGAGCCTCTTACCAGGGCAAAAATTTACATCATCCCATTTTGATTTTTCACTAGGAAAGGGAAAGGACTTCAAGACGTCGCTCATCAAAAGCCGAAGAAATCAAAGGGAAAGAAAGAAACATATCGTTAACGCAATACATGAGGGCGTCGATGACGGCCCGGGTTTGTTTTTCTCCTGATTAGGTCTCGTTCTTAGCAACGAAGCATTTCAGAAGATCCCAAGGCTTGTCAAAAAGTTTTTAAAAACACGTCTGCTGTTTTCTTAGCGAATTTCACAACCAAACTTGTTATGAACGCTATTATTGTTAAGAGCAAACTTCATCATGCTGATATATAAATATTGGTTTTAGGTTTTCCTTTCTTTTTTGTATCTTTTCTTTTTTTTTTTTTTTACTTCTTAAGTCTTCTTCTTTTTCCACAGCACATCATTGATTATGTTTGTTTATATAGTATGCACGCTCACAGAGGCATATCCACACACATGTGTACATGTTTTTTTTTTTTTTTTTTTTTTATAATTTTTTTTTTTTTGTTATTTAAAATTTTTTTTTTTTTTTTAAAAAACAAAAAAAAAAAAAAGATGAAAAAAATAAAAAAACGTCACAAGAAGTTTGTGATCGCCTTGGAGAGAATCTTAGTCAAACATTATTTCAAATAACTACATTTAAGTCCCAAAAATTTACTTTTGTAGTTAAGCCGCTAGGGATCAGTCCCTCGCTAAACTTTCAAAATTTTATCTTTGTGCTTGTAATATAATGCCCACAAAATTATATATAATTTTAATCAGATCTGTCTGCTTGACCCTTTTCGATTATTGAATTGAGACATCAATTTCAAGCTGACTGATGTACTGCTGATAGGCGCAATTTGCTTACTATTCCGTACTGAGTAAGTTGCAAAACTTACATCACTTAAAAATTATAGCGTGTATCGATCTTAAATTCAAACGATAAGCTGGATTTACGCAGCTATGGAAAATCGGGAAAACTTACAGGCGTTGAGAGATATTCCTCCAAAATTTGGTAAAAATCTTCTCTAAGATCTAGTGAAAGGTCAATACGAAACAGTTCCACTGAACCAGGTCATGCATTTGCTTTTAGGAAAATATTTTGTCAAATGATTTGGATAATCTGCAGTTAAACCGAAATCCAAGATATGTTGTCAGGCAAAGAAATAACTCTTAGTCCGAGTCTACACTTTATATTCCGATCTAATATTAATGAAAATAGTGTCACCTTAAATTTTATTTCCCTTTTTTCTGCGTAAGCGTAAATGATTGGCTACTTAATTAAGGAAGAAATAAAATGCGCGTAAATAAATTCGTAACAGATCCAACGTTCTTGAACTGCAAAAAATCTCGTATAGTTAAGGTGACCAAAATTTTTTTGATAAACAAAAAAAACACACACTTATAATGGTAACCTTTGATTGCTTTTTAGGTTTCAAGTTCAGGTCATCATGAAATTTTTAGACTTTTCAGTCACGCAATCTACTTCTTTTATAAATACTTCTTCCAGCAGTGAAGAAGCGGTATGAAAAAGAACAAAATTGTATACAACACAAAAAAAAAAAGATAAAAGAAGTAAAAAAATTATATTCGGCGGGGGCCGAATTTCGCATACCCACTATTAAGCTTTTCGCATTCTACTCTCCAAGTTCTTTCATTTGAAATTCATATCGCTGGTATTATGAATCACCGGCAACTGTAATTATACGGCGTTGTGCAGAAAATCTCTGTATTTCATAGAGATGCGAAAATTTTTGCAATACAACATTATGGGTTTATTACCTCCTTGTAAACCAACATAAGTATTTGCCAAAGACAAATTGTTAGTGTATTAGACAAGTTACAAAACATTGAGCTTAAACTTCTCAACGAGCGGTCTTTCGCGATTAGTCTAAAATTTCAACGAAACATTTTTTTTAAGTCATGAAGTTTTCCACATATTCCATAAAGCCCAACACATTAATTATTAAGTCAAAAGAAATATTTCTTTTTCCCAAACATTTGCCCTTAAAGATATGCTGCATTTATTTTATTCGACCAGTATTCCTTTTTAAAGCTTTACTTTTTATTCTCACCACGGGGAGATGGGGGTATAATCATTTTGTATGTAGGAACCAAAAGGAAGCTTCAGATATCCTATTCTTGATCAGTGTGAAAGCCTGAGTTGATTTACCCATGTCTGTCCGTCCATATGTCTGTGTGGTGTGTGTTTTTGGCCCTCTCCTGATCGCAGAAAGGAAGATATCGACTTAAAATTTGGTAGAACCATTGCAAGTTTTCGCACGCAGGTTGGTATTGAAAATGGGCTAAATTGGACAGAGCAGAATCCCCCAATGGAGCGTAAACTGAACGCAGCTCAGTTTTTTCTAATAGAAATTTTTGAATTATTAGGGTTAGAAGACTAAAACCTTCCACATTTGGTTTGTGAGACACTTTACCCTCTAGATCCGAAAATGGAACCAATTGACCGTGTTCACACAAAGTTAGGAATAATTAAATTTAATTTTTTCCACTTTTTTTTGAGATTTAATGCTTATTTATCATAAGGCAGACACTCCTCAATTGAAGATATATATTATCTGCCCAAAAATGGGTTCATTTCAAAATGAATATGGTAGATACCGCAATTAATTTTTTCTTAATAACATCAGCGATATGGGTAAGAAATGAAATAACTTGGAGAGTAGAATGCGAAAAGCTTAGGGGTGGGTATGCGAGATTCGGCTTCTGCCGAATATAGCTTTCTGACTTGTTTTTTTTTTTTAATGTAAAGAGGGCATTGGTGCATTTTATAATATTTTTTTAAATTTTTTGAATATGTTTGGGTGGATGTTCTATTCGAAAATAATATCTATTAAATTAACGGCAATTTTAAACGTACGCAAGTTCGAACGTAGCCACTAATAATCTTTAAATGGTATTCGTGTACTATACAAGAATGCTCGCCTTCGTATTTTCAAAACTCCATTAAAAGTTAATTGAAATAAATTTAGGAAATAGGTAATAAGAACTTAAGCATCACAAGTTACTTCGCTCTGCAGCACATTTTTCTTTTTTTTTTCTAATATATGTAAACGCAGATGTTTTTTTAAGAGTGGAAAAAATATTTCCTATTTATTAAAAAAACAACATTTAAATAAATATTTGAAAGGCTTTCACGAAACACATTATGAAGAAAATCGAATGTCCTTACAAAGCAATCCATTGGGTATTTAAGTGAGGACATGATAAACAGACATAACTAAGACAATGGCAAGCGACACTTGAACGGTCGTTAAACGTAGCGTTCTGCCAAGAAAATTAATCCTTTTCCAAATATAGCAAAGGATGTCCTTGACCAAAAGAAAGCAAAAAAGACGGTCTAACGAATTGATATATTCTTGAAGTGTTCGGTTTAAGTCAGCTTGTAATACTTAAGGCGATTATTTTAAAAAATTAATTATGATAACTGCACTAGTGATAATAATATAGGCAGCAGTAGCTAGTTAGTGAGCTCGTCGTCTGACGCTTTCGATACTGGCTTACCACACCTCTGAGGTAAAAATCAACTTAATGCCCATAAAAAATACCACCAATGCTAACAACTAAGATCCATAGCATTTCATGCGGAGTCAAAATTGCGTAATAAGTTGCTTGATGATCTTGAAATCACCCCATCTTGACATCAACTAACTGACGAAGTTCACACAAAGCATAATGTGAAAAAAGATTATTAAACGATTTATTCAACCATTAGCCAAAATGTGTTTTTTCAATATGCCTACGACCTATGATTATCACTGAATTGCAATAATAGTGAAAATAGTACGGCATAGTTGCGTAATAAATCGTTTTTAAATTTGATGACTGATGTGAAAACACCGATATACATATATCTTAGCTTAACACTCGAGAAGGCAAAAATTATTTCAAAATATTATGAAAAATTTGAAAAAATCCTTAAAAATTAAATATATATACATTTAACCGTTGTTATTATGCATGCACCTATGTACATACACATATATATGCAATTTGGAACCATATGTTACAATGACAAATGTTTTTATTTCATTAAGCATCAAAAATAACATTTGAAGAATAAAAAAAAAAAAATAAAATAAATAAATAAATAAACTATGCATCTATACATACATACATGCATGTGTATATATAAATAAATATTTTTTTTGGCAAATTTTCTACTCAAATCTCAATGCAATCTATATATTTTGTAATACTATTTTTAAAGAAAAAAAAAAAAAAACATAATATTTAAGATAAAAAAAAAAAATTATCCAAAAGTCATAACGAAAAAGAAGAGAAATCCAAGTACTAGTGTGACTTAAAAGTATATTTTTGAATATCTTCAAGTTTTTTTACACTGTTACTTACTCTTTATGTTCGGCCGCTCGATCTCGTTGACGTCGATTTTTAAACCAATTAGAGACCTGCAAGATTGTTAAAAAGAAACTAAGTATTGCGCAGTTTTTTTATTTTTACAATTTTAAGAAAATAATTTCCTATTAAATTAATTTATTAATTTATAATTTAAGTTTTTATATTCAAACTTACTACACCACTGCACAGAGCAGAGGGATATATTAATTTCGACATGGTACTTGTAGTTACTGAAAACAATTTGAAAACTTCTTACATTCTTTTTCAATTTGATCTTTGGAATATTAATATTTTAGGGTTCGTCCGTACGTCCGTCCATCCGCCCGGCCGTTTATCTTTTATCTATCATTAGAGAAGAGCTTGATACCTATATTCTATTATAACTTTCATTTCGTAGATCGACAAGACCATCTTATGTCTTAGACGACGAAAATTCATAAAAAGTTTAAAGGTAACTTCTTGACTATTACAAGATGGTGCTGCGCTAAGGCAAATTGTTAGTCGAAGTGTTCTCATCGCTTGGTCTACACATCGTCTTAGTAAAGATAATATATTAAAATTAAATTGAATTGAAAATTTTAATAAGAATCTTTAGATGTTTCTTCGAGCAAATAAATTTAAAAAAAAATTTTTATTTAAATCGCGGACATTAGCAGTCGTTTCATGCTAATCCTATCATCATTTAAATATATATATATATATATAATAAGCAATTATGTACTAATTATTAAGATGAGCTAAAGATTTATGAAATTTGTAACTAAAATATTTTCATGACATAATTGGCTAAGAAATCATATTTCAAGGTCACGTTTTTTATGAAAAAAGACATATTGCTTTAAAATTCCACAAAGAATGGCATTAATAAAAAAGATACGAAAGATGAAAGAATGCTTTTCAGGTCGCAATGTTTTAATCAAAAAATATATGTGAAGAGAATTCGAATGTTGCGTAAACAATCAAAGACGAAAAAATAATGAATGAAGTCGTTGCGAAGAAAATTTTTCTTTTGAACCCTCGCGCACTATTCTAACTATTATTAGAATAAATATGTTAGTAATCTTTTTAACCGCGACGTATGATAAGGCAATGCACTCATTATCAATAAGGATTACTTACCTGCGTTGTTGTTAGACCTGTCGCCTCTGCTAGTTCACGTTTTTCTCGCGGTGATGGATAAGGATTGTGCGCATACCAGTCTCTTAAAACAGAACGTGATTTTTCCTAAAATAATAATTGTAAACACCAACAACAAAATAAATACATAAGCAAACAATTTAATACAAATTTCAATCAAAAGAAGCCTTTTTTTGTTTTTTTATTAAAAAACGTAAAAAAAAAAAAGGTAAGTAAACTCGAACTGTAACAATGAATTTACTAAAAACTTATTAAATAAACAGGCAAAAAGACTTATGGTTACAACAACAAAAACCATAGAAACCCAAAAAAAAAAAAAAAAACAAAAAAAAAAATAAAAAAAAAATTAATATAACAATTTTTGCTATCCATATGTACATCAACTTTTAATATATTGTCCTTACTAAGGCTTCAGTGTTAATGCATACTTATCACGTATAACTCACCTTGAAACAATAACTTGTTTCCTCACCATCCCAAATCGTCCTAGGCAGTGGAAATTTACGACGAACACGATATTTACCCACAGCACCGAGAGGTCTTCCTCGTAACTTTTCGGCTTCCACATAGTGAGCTGGGCTCCCCCGAAAATTAAAACAAGAAATTATTTCAATTTTTTTCTTTCTCTCTTTTTTCGTTCATTTGTGTATTTCATTCATTCATTTCTCGTTTTAGGGAATTTTTTTTCAAATCGCTTTTTGTAGGTTTCTTGCACTTTTTTTTTGTTTTTTTTGTTTTTCTTCTCACCTTTAAGCCATAGTGCTTGCAGCTTGGCATGATTATGCGGTGAGAATTGATGATGTTCGAGCAGTCGATATAATTCCTTGTATTGACCGCGATGGAATGCAACAACGGCTTTGGCTTTTAGCACAGATTCGTTCAGTTGCAATTTATCACATTGTGGTAATGACCATAAAAAGCGGCCCAGCCTTTCAATATTGCCGGCTTGTTGCAAGACCTTTAAATCATCAGAGCTTAATACCGACAAATGTAAAATGTATTTTAGTAACTTTTAACTCACCTCACAGACACAAGCAACTTGCTCTTGGGTAAAACCAAAACTAGGTAAGACTTCGCGAACGTTTGAACCATTACTGATACCGCCCGCACCTGTTGCGCTTATAATACCACTGCCGCTGCCCCCAATATTTGTACTGCTGCTGTTTTGGACGCTAAGAGACGTACTACCACCACCGCCGCCTATTCCGGAGCCATTGTGAGTCAACAAATCCAAATTATTATTGCTTGTGCTATTATTGTTATTGTTATTCGAGCTAGTCGCTGACGTTAGGCCGGTCGGGCTGTAAGGTGGCGTTTGCCGTGAACTTATGACCGCCGTATTAGCAGCAGCCAAATCATAAAAATCAGAGGCGGGATGTTGTAACATGATTGTGCTTTAAAAAATTTTTTCAAAATTTTCAGTAATTTAACATATTAAAAAACAATCTGGAAAAATACAAAAAGAAGAAGAAAAATTCATAAAATAATCGGATATTCTTATATATTTGTTCTGTTTTCTTTTGTTGTTGTTGTTGCTGTTTTTAACAATAATAATAATAAAAATATCTTAAATTACAAAAATAGACAAAATTTGTATACGTTTCAAATGCACATACGAGAAGGAATATATATATATATATATATATATATATAT